ATTTATGTATTTGTGCATACAGTACAGGGCCAGAGGTGTAGGGGAGGTAAGAGGCTTCATCAGAGACATAGTGGGGAGCAGAAAAGAGAGATAGACGAAGTACACTGCTGAGGGGAGCAGCAGGCGGGTCAGGAGAGGTCTGCCGCACCATGTGGGTCACCTCCGGGGGCAGGCGGGGATCGAACTCAAGCTGAAGCCGCTTTAGCTTCTTAGTGCTGTGCTTTAACCCACTGTGCCACTATGGAGGACCACTGTGTGTTTTAATTTAGGTCTCTACCTCCCCTGGGCAGAAGACGAAAATTGGAGATTAACTCTATTTGAAATCTACCATAGGAACTTCTTTGGTTCCTGTGTGCAGGTATCAGCCAAAGTCAGAATAATCCTGAACCAAAAAGATTTTCCTTTTCCCTCTGTCCTCCACTAGTATCTAGTCACACTTTTCCAGTTGTGGAGGCTGCTGGGGAATAGGAGTAAAGGGCCCATGGAAATGGTATGTGATGCTCACCTCTCAGTTACCCAACTCATGAGTGAAGGCATACTGTTCTATAAATGCAAATCGTGTCTTCACTTTTTAAAATTTAACATAATAAATAAAAATGCTTTGTCTAAGTTTGATCTGTCACCCTGAAGCACTAAAAGAATGAATAAAGATGATTTTTTCCTTTAAAATGCTTTATCTTTTAATAGAGGTCAGATTTGCTTAAGGTTCAAAATTTAAAAGATATACAGATCTATAGTGAATGGTCAGCTCTCATCCAAGTCACCCCACTTTACCAGTTTCTTTTTTTTTGTGAAAGAGATATCTTTATGTGTTTGTGTGTAATGTTGTAGTTTATTTTTACATCATTTTGTGCCTTTTTCCATTTCAGTTGTAATCCCCAAGGGCTTCCCATCACCAAATCACCCGTGTGCCATCACCATAGTCCAGTGCATTTCCCTCCCCCCACTGTTTTTGATCCCATTCCCCACTCCACCCCATAAAATGTCGCTGGTATATAGCTGTTCATTATTATTATTTTCTCGCCTGGTCCATTATACTCCTGCTATGAGTGAAACTATCCAGTATTTTTTCTTTTCTCTCTGGCTTATTTCACTAAGCATGATCTTTTCCAGCTCCATGTTGCTGCAAAAGGCATGAGTTTTTCTTTTTTGTTTGCTAAGTAATACTCCACTGTGTATATGTACCACATCTTTTTAATCCAGTCATCCACTTTTGGGCATTTGGGTTGTTTCCTATTGTAAATAAAGCAGCAATAAACATGGGGGTGCAGCTATCTTTTTGAATCAGTGTTTTTGTGTCTTTTGGTTAGATACCTAGGAGTGGGATTGCTGGGTCATATGGAAGCTCCATGTTTAGCAGTTTGAGGAGCCTCCAAACAGTTGTACTAGTTTGCTTTCCCACCAGTAGTGCAGGACAGTTCCTTTTTCTCCACATCCTCACCAACATTTGCTGTTGCTAGTTGTCTTAAGATGTGCCATTCTGACAGGTGGCAGGTGGTATCTCATTGTGGCTTTAATTTG